ATGTTTTAACCTCAGAATTTGGGATGCATTCCAGCACTGTTCCATAGTTTCCCAGTATTGTTGGTTTCCTCGCATTGTTTCATAGTTTAATTGCCACCATTGTTTTCTTTATGGTTCATAAAACAATGGGCATATCATAATCAATGGCACCTTACGGTGAATGAGGTATGGTAGATGGCTTTGTTCTGTAATTTTATACCTGCCAAGTACAGCTGCTTGTGTACAGACATGGAGAGGGCATTTGTTTCAGGTTTGGGTTTTAAAGAAGATGAATAAAGTTGAGAGAGAGCTGTAAAGTTGACAATAGCTGTCAATAACAGGCATATTTTGGCCCACTTAGGGAAAAACACAATTGCAATGGGACTAGAAAAACTGCTTCCTGTGGAGATCAGCTCTTCATTATCGGAAGAGTTTAATCTGGAATTTTGGTCCACATGGCTAGTCTAAGATGTTTTGCCAAATTAAGATCGTATCATAAATTTCTCTTGTAAGCTTAATAATCATGAAACAACAGTTCAGAATTCCTTTATCAATCACCTTTTCTGATAGATGTCCAATACTGAATGATCATGAGTCATGTCCTAGGTGACTATTGAAGAAAGGATAGGGAACATGTGTATTCATTCACAGAACATTTAATAATTACCTGCTATATGCCAAGCGGTCTATTGGGTTTTGAGGAAATGAAAATACAAAATGAATTATCTGATGTTGAAGAGCCCACAGTCTGATTTAAAAAACAGACAAGAAAGAATTGACACCAGAAGTATTCTTTCATCCAATAACTTACGTAACATGCATTTATTGGACTCCTACTGAGTGCCAGGCATTGTTCTAGGTGCCAGAAATAGCACCTAGTGCTATTTGCAGTGACAAAATTACCAAGTCCCTAACTCCGTGGTCCTTACCTTTTAGTGAGATAGGTCAATTGACCAATAGAACACCACTAAGCATGATACTTTTGACTAGTGATAGACTGAGGAAAACAGTGAAATGTTATAGAGAATAACTGGGTACTACTTTAGATTGAATGTTAAGAGTATAAATTAAGCTATATATTTTTTTCTTTGACACAGAGTTTCGCTCTTCTTGCCCAGTCTGCAGTGCAGTGGCGCGATCTCAAGCAACTCTCATGCCTCAGCCTCCTGAGTAGCTGGGATTACAGGAGTGTACTACCAAGCCCAGCAAATTTTTGTATTTTTTGTAGAGACAAGGTTTTGCCATGTCAGATCTCCTGACCTCAGGTGATCCACCCACCTCGGCCTCCCAAAGTGCTGTGATTATAGGCGTGAGCCGCTGTGCGTGGCCAAATTAAGCTATTTTGGCCGCAGTAACAGAAAGTCTAACAGTGGCCTAAGCCCTCGAGACACTAATTATTTATTTTAAAAACACAGAGGTTACCAATCCCAGCATGGATTTAGTAATTCAGTCATGTCATCAAAGTTCAAGAGTTTTTCCATCTCTCTGTTCCCCCATTCGCAACACATTGACATTTTCCTCGTGGCTGCAGAATGACTGCCATAGCTGCAGATACTACATCCTCTCAATTTCCAAAGCCAGAAGGGAAAAAGGGATGGGAGAATAGGGACAAGATAACATTTTTTCTCCCTAGTGTAGCTGTCTTAATTATCAGAGAAAGGTTCTTTCTAGAAGCTTTCACACCCCCTAGCAAACTTCCCCCTAAAATTCATCAAACAGAAATGGTGCCCTCCCTACATGTAGTTTCGTGACCAATGAAGAAGAACTATATTACCACAATTCATTCAAAATAATCATGGGCCATCAAATCTGAGTTTTGGGCAAGGAAGAAGGCATTGTGGACTGGGGTAGGTAAATAATGATTGCCACCTCAGAGAATGCTTCCCTGAGGAGATGACATTTGAACCAGAACCTAGACGATGAGGTGGTGCCAGTCTTGTGCACCACGTCCCATGGTGGCACAAAGGGAGAAGCTAGGCCAGAGTAGATGGCCAGGAAAGGCTAACAGGGGAAGAGGCACTTGAGGACGAGAATGAGTCAGCCAGATGAAGCTATGGGTGGAGAGGGGCGGAGGACTTTCAGGCTACAGCAAAGCCCAGTGGAGAGGAAAAGCAATGTGAGCCAGTTTGTATGGCTGGAGCAAGATCAGCAGGACAAGGCAGGCCACAGCCTTCATGGAGATGATTGCAGAGGGGAGGATTTGGATTCCAGCATTACAAAATCAGCAATAAGGCAGATGTATGCAAAAGGATGGGTACTCAGTTTCACCTAGGGCTTTGGAGGAGACCTGCTCAAGAAGAGAGTTAGGTTGAACCTGACTGAGTACAAGGAGTCAGCCAGGGAACAGAGGTGGGAAAGATGTCCCTTAGCACAGGGCACACACAGCAGGCATGAAGACTTGCAGGCTTGAAAAAATGTGATGAAACCATCGGTACAGCATCACCAGTGGATGATGTGTGAGTCAGAGAGTGACTGGGGATGAGGCTGGAGCCATGGCTGGGAGTCCTGCTTCATTTGGTTTAGGCCAATACAAGCACCTGCCTTTTCAAAAGTTGGGAGTCCCAGCTCTGGAAATAATAGCTGGGTTGGCTTCCTCATTTGTGCTGTGCAGGGCTGGGCTTGGACGATCTTCAAGAACACTTCCATTTTTTACATTCCTGATCTCTGGTAGATGCTCAATAAACGTTTACTGAACAAGTGAACCATTAACCATTAAACAGTCTCTCCTGCTGCCAAAACTTTGCTCATCAGTGTAAATAAGACATATCCTTCAAGGCCTGGTCTGTCCCTGTATTCTCCATGAAGTGGCTCCTGACCAGCCCAGCCTCCGTCAACTCCTCCTTTGTTGGGAGTGACTGCCTCAGCTCAGCTATTATAGAGAAAGACTTGTATGCTTTCATATTATGGTTTTCTTCTTCCAACAAGAAGTGTGAACTCTGGGAGGTTTAGGGGTCATATTTTATATGAATTGATATATCCACAGATGCTGGCACACTGGAGCATTTTGTATACACATAATGACAATGCAGTTGGTGAGGATGTGCTAGTGTAGGACCTCACCAGTTGTAACAAAAACATGCATCACCTACTGTGAGATGTTGATAGTGGGGCCAGGTTGTATGTAAATGGGGGGGGGAATTATTGGGAAAATCTCTGTACTTTTGCCTCATTTGGTGTAAACCTAAAACTACTCTAAAAATAAAGTACTAAAACTACTCTAAAAATAAAAAAAATTTTTTTTTGAGACCGGGTCTTACCTGTCACCCTGGCTAGAGTCCAGTGGCACAATCTCCACTCACTGTAGCCCTATCTCCTGGGCTCAAGTGATCCTCCCCTGTCACCATGTCAACTCCTGATGCCAGGGCTACAGTGTGTACCACCATGCCCAGCTAATTTTTTTTTTTTTTTTTTTTTTAGTAGAGACAAGGTATCATTATGTGCTCCAGGCTAGTCTTGAACTCCTGCCCTCCAAGCATTCCTGCCTCAGGCCTCCCAAATACTAGATTACAGGTGTCAGGCTCTGTGACCAACCTATATTTTTTAAAAGATGGAATTTTCCCATCTAAGGGAGCAGAACGATGAATTTTAAGAGGAGTATTCAGTCCTCAAGGGGATTCACAAACTTAGAACTAGAGAAAAATAGCAAACACAGTACTCACAGCAGCTGGGAACTTTCCCATCCTTCCCTGGTCACTTCCTAGAAGATTAAGATTAACCAAAACAAAATGAGGAAGGGGGAATGCTGAGATTAAAATTAAGGGGTTCCCTTTCAGTATATTAGGAGAACTTCATGAGGATTTTGAAAAATGCCATGCTCTAGATAAATATAGCTTTTCAAACATGGGATTGGGGAAGCTAAGAAGTTCATAAATACAAAAAAAAAAACAGAATTTTTGAGTGTTTCAAATTTAATAAAAGATATGTCACTGATCATGTTGCTTTTTGAGAGTCTTGTCCTTGTGTCAGTCAGTGGTAGGGTAGGTATGGCTTTTGAGGTGACAAATAGCTCCCAAATCTCAGGACTAAGAATAGTAAGAAGTAATCCTTTCTTTTTTTCTTTTCTTTTTTTTTTTTGGACCGAGTCTTGCTCTGTCACCCAGGTTGGAGTGCAGTGGTGGGATCCTGGCTCACCACAAGCCCGCCTCCCAGGTTTCACACATACTCCTGCTTCAGCCTCCAGAGTAGCTGGGACTACACGCGCCTGCCAC